ATATCACTTTTGCCTCCACCCACAGTCACCCACCCTACTCAGCCCCCAACCTTCAGCAACCACAAATCTACTTTCTGTCTCCATTACGTTTGCCTACTCTGGACATTTCATATATATGAAATCACAAGATATGTGGACTTTTGTGACTAGATTCTTTCATTTAAAATAATATTTTCAAGATACATCCATGTTGTAACATATATCAGTACTTAATTTCTTTTTATTGCCAAATAATATTCCATTGTATGAATATATCACATTTTGTTTATCCATTCATCTGTTAATGGACATTTGAGTTGTTTCTACCTTTTAGCTATTATGAATAAGGCTGATATGAGCATTCGTGTTTAAGTTTTGTGTGGGCATATGTTTTCATTCCTGTTGGTTATATACCTAGGAGTGGAATTGCTAGGTCAAATGGTAAATATACGTTTAGCTTTTTGAGGAGCTGACAAACTGTTCTCCAAAGAAGCTGAGTTTTCTTAATTCCCCTGACAGTGGCTTATGTGAAGAGAAAGAGTTGTTCAGAATTCACTTTGGCTTTTAAAAATTAATATGCAGTTTATTAAAATTCATATTTTAATTAAAAAATGTAAAACATAATTATTTTTTAAACTTTTAAGTTCAACTTACCAGTCATAGTATGTTATTCATAAATCAAGCAAATATTAACAATAACTCTTAAGGGAGCTTTGATTAATAATTAGTCTTATTTTCAAAATTAAAACCACTTTAGGCAGTATACACTGCATTTATTCAGTCCATATATTCAATTTCCATTTTAAATACAACTGACTGGCAAACAGACCCGCAAGTATTTTTATTGCAATCTCATAAAAGTAAACATATAAATATGCTACATTTTCAGTAATTTTAATGTTCTGATTCTACTTACAATCTCAGTAAGAATTTAACTTAGACCACCGACTACTCTGACGGGATCACAACAGAGGGCCCCAGACAGACAGGGAGAAAAATGAGAAACTAATCTGTTCTGTAAACTTTCACCTAAAGCACAGTAAGGAAAAAAAAAAGAATTGCTTAAGAATGAAAAAAAGATTTAACTTAAAGTTACAATCTAAATCATTCAACTGCCCAATTTAAATGAGAATGACAAGATTTATCATTCAAGCCCTCTAATATGCCAAATTATTTTAAATATTTCAAGAACCTGAAATACAAACATGCACAATGTAACACAAAAGCCCACTACTGGTCTGTCAGTTTGTCCTACTGTGGTGGCTTGCATATTGCTGTGATACTGAAAGCTTTGCCACCAGTATTTCAAATACCAGCAGGGTCACCCTTGGTGGACAGGTTTCAGTGGAGCTTGCAGTCTAAGACAGACTAGGAAGAAGGATCTGACAGTCTTCTTCTAAAAAAACTGGCCAGTGAAAACCTTATGAAAACAGCAGAACATTGTCTGATATAGTGCCAAAAGATGAGTCCCTCACGTTGGAAGGCACTAAAATACCACTGGAGATGAGCTGCCTCCTCAAAGTAGAGTCGACTTTAATGACGTGGACGGAGTCAAGCTTTCAGTACCTTCATTTGCTGATGTGGCAGGACTTCAACTGAAAAAAAAACAGCTGCAAACATCCATTAATAATTGGAGCATGGCATGTATAAAGTATGAATCTAGGAAAATTGGAAGTCATCAAAAATGAAATGGAACAATAAACATTGACATCCTCAGCATTAGTGAGCTGAAATGGACTGGTATTGGCCATTTTGAATTGGACAATCAAATAGTCTACTATGCTGGGAATGACAAATTGAAGAGGAATGGTGTCACATTCATTGACGAAAAGAACATTTCAAGATCTACCCTGAAGTACAACACTGTCAGTGATAGGATAATATCCATACACCTACAAGGAAGACCAGTTAACACGACTATCATTCAAATTTATACACCAATCACTAAGGCCACAGATGAAGAAATTGAAGATTTTTACCAACTTCTGCGGTCTGAAATTGATCAAACAAACAATCAAGATGCATTGATGATTACTGGCAACTGGAATGTGAAAATTGGAAACAAAGAAGAAGGATTGGTAGTTAGAAAATATGGCCTTGGTGATAGAAATGACATCAGAGATCACATGATAGAATTTTGCAAGAGCAACGACTTCTTCATTGCAAATATCTTTTTTCAACAACAGAAACAGCAACTATACACATGGATCTCGCCAGATGGAATACACAGGAATCCAATCGACTACATCTGTGGAAAGAGACCATGGACAAGCTCGATGTCATCAGTCAGAACAAGGCCAGGGGCCAACTGCGGAACAGACCATCAACTGCTCATATGCAAGTTCAAGTTGAAGTTGAAGAAAATTAGAACAAGTCCATGATAGCCAAAGTATGACCTTGAGTATATCCTACCTAAATTTAGAGACCATCTCAGGAATAGATTTGATGCATCGAACACTAATGACTGAAGACTAGACAAGTTGTGGAATGACATCAAGAACGTTATGACTGAAGAAAGCAAGAGGTCATTAAAAAGACAAGAAAGAAAGAAAAGACCAAAATGGATGTTGGAAGAGACTCTGAAAGTTACCCTTGAACGTAGAGCAGCTAAAGTAAAAGGAAGAAATGATGAAGTAAAAGAGCTGAACAGAAAATTTTCAAAGGCTTCTCGAGAAGACAAAGTAAAATATTACAATGAAATGTGCAAACACCTGGAGATAGAAAGGCAAAAGGGAAGAACATGCTTGGCTTTCCCAAATTGAAAGAACTGAAGAAAAAATTCAAGCCTCCAGTTGCAGTATTAAGAATTCTATGAGGAAAATATTAAATGACACAGGAAGCATCAAAAAAAGATGGGAGGAATACAGAGTCACTGTACCAAAAAGAATTGGTTAACGTTTAACCATTTCAAGAGGTAGCATATGATCAAGAACCGATGGTACTGAAGGAAGACGTCCAAGCTGCACTGAAGGCACTGGAGAAAAACGAGGCTCCAGGAATTGACAGAATACTGATTGAGACGTTTCAATAAACGGATGCAGCGGTGGAAGTGCTCACTTGTCTATGCCAAGAAATTTGGAAGACAGCTACCTGGCCAACTGAATGGAATAGATCCATATTTGTACTCATTCCAAAGAAAAGGGATCAAAGAGAATGCAGAAATTATCAAACAATATCATTAATACCACACACAAGTAAAATTTTGCTGAAGATCATTCAAAAGCTGTTGCAGAGGTACATCGACTGGGAACTGCCAGAAATTCAAGCCGGATTCAGAAGAGGATGTGGAGCAAGGGATATCATGGCTGATGTCAGATGGATCATGGCTGAATGCAGAGGATACCAGAAAGATGTTTATCTGGGTTTTACTGACTGTGCAAAGGCATTTGACTGTGTGGATCATAACAAATTATGGATAACATTGCAAAGAATGGGAAATCCAGAACACTTAGCTGTGCTCATGAGGAAACTGTACTTAGACCAAGAGGCAGTCGTTCAAATAGAACAAGGGGATACTGTGTGGTTTAAAGCCAGGAAAGGTGTGTGTCAGGGTTGTATCCTTTCACCATACTTATTCAGTCTCTATGCTGAGCAAATAATCCGAGAAGCTGAACTATATGAAGAAGAACTTGGCATCAGGATTGGGGGAAGACTTATTAACAACCTGCATTATGCAGACGGACTTGAAGCACTTACTGATGAAGATCAAAGACCACATCCTTCAGTACAGCTTACACCCCAACATAAAGAAAACAAAAATCCTCCCAAGTGGACCAGTTAGCAACATCATGATAAATAGGAAAATATTAAAGTTGTAAAGGATTTCATTTTACTTGGATCCACAATCAATGCCCATGGAAGCAGTAGTCAAGAAATCAAACGACGCATGCATTGGGCAAATCTGCTGCAAAAGATCTCTTTAAAATGTTACAAAGCAAAGATGTCACTTTAAGGACTAAGGTAGGCCTGACCCAAGTCATGATGTTTTTCAATCACCTCGTATGCATGTGAAAGCTGGATAATGAATAATGAAGACCGAAGATGAATTGATGCCTTTGAATTATGGTGTTGGCGAAGAATATTGAATATACCATGGACTGCCAGAAGAACAAACAAATCTTTCTTGGAAGAAGTACTGCCAAAATGCTTCTTAGAAGCAAGGACAACGAGACTTCATTTCATATACTTTGGACATGTTATCAGGAGGGATCAGTCCCTGGAGAAGGACATCATGCTTGGTAGAGGGTCCGCAGAAAAGAGGAAGACCCTCAACAAGATGGACTGACACAGTGGCTGCAACAATAGGCTCAAGCATAACGATTGTGAGGATGGCACAGGACTGGGCAGTGTTTCATTCTGCTGTACATAGGGTCGCTATGAGTCGGAACTGACTCGATGGCACCCAACAACAACAATAATACAAAAGATATTAATATGATTAGTTTGATGCTGTTAAGTATTTCTATATGTAATTTTAAATCTTCCTGAAGGTGAAAGATGATTTCCCAACAAAGCCATTGGAGATTACCTTCCCAAGTGATATTGAGACGGGGGGAATCTTCCTAGGTGACTGAGATTTAAGGCCAAGATTTCTTTTCTGACCTCAACTATGAGGCTAAACTCCTTTTAATAGCCACCATGACAATGTTGAGGCTTACAAGGTGGAGGATCAGATAGCCCACAGCCTAGGGTTTGAATCATACCATTATTTAATTTTTCAATTTACATATCTGTGCCTTTGAGGATTCTGTGCCTTTGAGGCTGTGTCACAACTTCTAAGGTTATTCTAATGGCCCATTTCATCTGCCTGCCTCATAAGAATGTCAAATGCTCCCTCTGCTGGACAATACCCAGGCTTGGGCTGAGTCCCAGAACCTGCAGATCCTTCCATTCCTTGTTGGAGAACTTCCTCCAAGGTCTGGGTGTTTAGTGAAGTGGGTTGACGGCCCTTTAAGAGGCGGTAGCTAGCTCCTAGTTGCTATGGAGACAGCTGGACACTTACCGGGTAGAAGCTGGCAGTCATGTCCTCCAAAGCTCATTCCACAGGTGGGAAGAAGGCTGCTGGTGCTGGGAAGGGGAGGGAGCCTCTTCTGCCTCCTAATCCACGGTGGGGGTGGGGGTCTTGGAGGATTCTGCTTTTGGGTCAGAAGCCAGGACTGGGGTCCCCCATCTCGACCTTGCCTCTCCTCTCTCCATAGGCCTCAGAGCCAAGCACCGCCAGCCCTCACCCCGAAAGCAGAGTTTGCCACTCCCAAAAGCCAATGCTGAAGCCATCAACTTCCTCAAATCCATCCGTGAGCCCTGGCAGTGGAGGGGGTGTGGGGAGAATAGATGAAAGTCTGGGCAAGTCAGCCCTGGACCTGGGCTCTGTCCTTGCTCCCCCACCCCCACCCCCACCCCGTGTCTCTCTACCTTTCAACACTGATTCTTCTGTGACTCAGTAGAAAGGGTGTGAGACCTATTTGTTGGCATTCTTCAAGGGGATACCCAGGACAATGGGGAAAGAGGTCTTCACCTACTGACTGCTGTAGAGGTCAAGGGATGGGGGTGCTGAGGCCACTTGGAAGACAAGAGGGTTGAGGAGGGGGTGAGTGGAGGTATGGTCGGGGGGTCAGAGGGTTGAGGCCTAGGAGCCAGGGCTTTATCTGTCCCACGGGACTCTCACCCCAGAACCTAAGGACCTGCAGCTGCTAGTCTTCTCCGAGACTCTGGCCATGGTCTCAGACACAGGGGAGCCCCTGGGAGAGCTGACCATTGACGTGCAGAAAGGGAAATACAGAGACGAACTCGGGGTCATCTCATACTGCCTCATCGTCCATGCCCTCAACCGTGGCTTCTTGGACAACCTGCTCTGTGGAAACTCCCTTCTGGGTAGAGCTCCCATTGCCTGACGCATCACCCCATACTTCCTCCACCACCCCACCACCACCCCAGGGCCCTTATTCAGGACCAACCCCTTGACCTTACCTTGGGCCAGAATGTGGATAAGAAGGTGTGGGGTGGGGGGAGGTTAATCACAGCCACAAACTCAAGTCAAGAGCAGCGCTGGCCGACCTGTAAATTTTTCTGTGGCCACATGGCACCTGAGTACCCCAGCCTGGGCCACCACTCTCCCTTCCTGCAGTCGCCAACCCATGTCTCCTGTGATGTCAGTATTCACCTGTTTCCGCCTCTAGGCTATCTCTCAGGAAAAATGGAGATCATGGAACAACATAGTCATGAGTTTATCAAGGTACCTCGTAGGGTCCTCAGCCTTGACCCCAACCCAGGGTGAGCGAACAGAGGCCCTGGGAGGGAGGGAGGAAGGAAGGGTGGACCTTGGTGGAATATCACCCAGTTACTCTGCAACTCCCACCACACAAAACTTGAAAACCAATCCGCCTGGGACAATAGAGGTCAGCAGTGGGTCCCTTCTGATGACATTCTCTGATACACAAAGCCTGAAACAAGCCCACCCTAGTCCTCCTCCAACCCCAAAGCCCAGTATCTCCAGGGGGCCACTGAGGCTGGAGCTTTGGGCCTGGCCTTTCCCAAGGTCTCATCTCCTGGACTACCTTGCCTCCAAATTCCCCAGCTCTCACACTCATCCCAGCCAGTTCACTAAGTTTTGCAATGTGATCCATTCATACATTGAAAATCACTTAAGAACCTTCACACAGAAATCATTCCTATCTTTTAAAACCCATATTCTGAGGTGCATTTGCTTTTTAATTTTATATTACACCATAATATGACTTCTACTCTTGAGCTCTACTATGTATGGAAAGTTTTCATCAAAATCTTACCTTGGTTTTCTCCTCTGTAAAGGAGACTGGACAAGATGATCTCTGGTGGGCGGGGGGGTCCCATTTGTATAAAATCCAGGGAGCCCCTGATTCTCCCCTTCCATGCTCTGGCCCTTAGCTCCTTGTCCTCCCGATGGAACGGAAAACAAGTTTAGTGAGGCAGGAAGATCAGCTGGCCATGACCAGGATTGTCAAGGAGGGGGAGGTAAGGACGAGAGCCAGGTGGGAACCATCTTCCACAATATTTTCAGAACCATGAGCAGGGACCAGATTGGGTCAGGCCAGGAGCCTGGACTGAGGACTGAGCCAGGACCATATACCCAACTCCTGGCTTGCCCTTTCTCCCTGCCCCTTCCCAGCTCGAGGTCCCTGACCCAAATTTGTCCTGAACAGGAAATGAAGACCGAAGTGACTTTCTTCCCCTGGAACTCAACTGCCGGCTTCATCTCTGAGGCTGCCAACCTGGTGATTCTGAGGGTGATGGCCTGGCGGCAGATGGTGCCCAGCAATGCCCGCTTCCTGGCCTTGGACACGGAGGGGAAACTCTGCTATTCCACCTACGTAAGGGCGCACCCTGGGCATGGGGCTGGGCCTGGGGCAAATGAGAAGGGGTGCAAAGCAGACTAGAAGACCAGACAGCTGAACCGTGGGAGTGGAAGAGGTGGTGGGGTTGGGGATAAAACAAGAGGATGGAAGCGGGGTTTTGAGGGCAGGAGAAAGCCAGAACTGACTTTGTTAGATTAAATGTGGGGCAGGTGAAGCGAGCGAGAGGGATTGAAAGGTGTAAGCAGTTGAGGCAAGCAACCCTTTCCGCACAAAAGTCAGTCTAGGAAAAATAATGTAGCGGAGGAAAGCTTTTAATTTTTTTTTTTTAATCAGGAAATGCACTATCTCTGACTGCACTTAAATAATATTATTTCTCGACACCTAAGGGTTCCTCTTTTTTATTTTGGCTAAAGTTTCATAATCAACACACCTAGAACTGTTCTGCAATATGTGATTATAAAGCTGCGCCTTTGAATACAGTTTTGACTGAGCCACTTTGGGGGCTGAGTTGTCTTTCTTTGACAGACCTTGTAAATTACACCGTAGTGTTTGAATCAAGGCTATTTTTCTATCACAAACACAGCAAACAGCCATGTCTTCAACATAAACATATACCATTCCCCCCCCATTTTCTTTGAAACACGTGTTTTATGTTAGTACTTTTCTCTCCAAGGCTTCATTACCTGCCCCCTCCCAATAGCCTATCCCCCCACACCCCCATACCTAACTGGTTGGTCCTCATCCCTGTAACAGAATCTGCCAACTAGAAGCACTTGGTCAGAAAGATGGCATGGGGAAGGGTTGGGGCAAGGTAGGCTGGAGCTGGCTTTATGAAGGGACTCCCAAGTTAGACTGTGGGTGCAACTCAAACCTTGTGGCACCTGGGGGTCCGGACAGCCAAGGGCTGCTTATCACTAGTGAAAGATGAAGATGCAAGATGGAGAAAAGAGCCAGGGCGAGATTTTGTGGGAGACCCTAGTGGGCATCCACCTTACCCCCCACTCCATTTTGACTGCTGCCAGCAAGCCCTGGGCTTCCAGACAATCCAGGTGGGCCATCAGCAGGCGGAAGTGTTCATCGTGGAGCAGACAGTACACTCGGATGAGGGCATCCCCATGTCCTGCCAGTTCTACCTTTTCTCTGATGGGTGAGCCACTGTGCGGGGCCAAGGGGGTGGTGTTGAGCACAGACTTGGGTGCTCAATGATGGGGGTGGGGGTGGGGCAAAGGGAAGACTAGCTGCTTCTGAGGACACCACCAGGAAGAGGAGCCGTTGAGATCTGAGTACCCTCTGCTTCATCCACATCCTTCACCCTTTCTTCATCTGTTCGCTCATTCTCCTAATCCTCACAGTTCTTCCCAAACCTCACCAAAAAACCCTGACTGGCTAAGAAGCAAATGCCAGCCTCTACAGGGCCTAAAGCATAGCTAAAGCAGCTGCCACAGTGTTGGGTTTAATACTGAGCAACACCAAGTTTTGAAATACACTTGATCAGATCAGTGTGTTAGAAGAAGTGCCCCTGGCACACGGCCAAGCTGTCACCAGCATAGCGGGGGCACCAAACCATGAGAAAATTCGGGTGGGGGAGTGGAATTTGTTTCTTGACATTTCAAATGCTATTGGCTTTTTTTATTTCATAACTTAGTAAATTGTTTCCATTCTGAATTTCACATAGCAGGAGGCTCCCGATTTTTTTTTAGTGCTTTCACCTCCAAAGGTCTTAGTCCAGCCATGGTACACCAGCCACATGTCAAGGGGTACGGACAGTAGCCAGTTTGAAAAGCAGGGGCCTAATACTTGGTAAGCCCTGTGCCGTTATCAGGGGATGCAGAAATGAACGAGACTCAGGACTCTAAGACAAGTGAGAGAGGCAGAAGTAAAAGGAAGCCTGCGGGACAGGTCTCTGGGAAGGGAGCGCTGGGAAAGCTCCCCTTCCCATACCTTCTTCTATGTTGCACTCCAGGCACCTGGCCAAGAGAGTCCAGGTGGGCTCCCCTGGGTGCTGCATCATCACCAAGATGCCCATCTTGAGGGAGCAGGGTGAGTGAAGCGCAGCTGTGGGAGAGTGAAGGGGAGGTGGGGGAAACCTGGTACATTCCGGGGTGCAGAGGCCCGCTTGTGCAGCCTGCAGAAGGGCGTGACTGAGTGTGCTCCGGGTGGGATCCAGACTGAGATCAGGTGGAGAAACTCTGCCCTCCAGCCCCCACCTCAAGGCACTTAGGGAGAATCCTTCTTGCTGGGAACTCCCTCAAGCCACTCCACCCATGTGGGCAGAGTCCTGGGGGTTTTATCTGAGCCAGTTGTTTGGCTGGTCCTAGAAAGGTTCTTGGAGCCTGGGTGCTAACCGAAAAGTTGGAGGTTCCAGTCTACTCAGAGGTGCCTCGGAAGAAAAGCCTGGAGATCCACTTCCAAAAAAATCAGCCACTGAAAACCCTATGGCGTGCAGTTCTACTCTGACACACATGGGGTCGCCGTGTGTGTTTAGGAATGCTCCCGGGTAGGGGTAGTGGGTATGCAGCCTTTCTCCCTCCCCACTCAGATGAGATTGAGCCTCCTCCAGTGTTTGAGAAGAAGCCCCTGGCGTGGGAGGAAGACATGGAGCTCTACTCTAAGTTCATGGACCGAAAGGTGAGGAGAGGCTGCAGCCAACTTGGGGTCCCCACTCCACCCTCGGCCATAAATTCCACATACTGATCTCCCTTTCTGCCTGATTTACCTGCACTCCCCTGGCGGCTGGGAGGCTCCAGCGCCACTTAGCCCTCCTTGGAGCGAACGCGGGGCCTCCTGGGGCACGGGAGGGGGTGTCTATGGTCCCACTCAGGCTCGGGCGCCCCGTCCCCCTCTAGGAGGAGCTCCGACTCAGCCACAACAGCTACATGCTACACCACCCTGAGGCCCACGCGCTCATCTCGGACTTCCTGCTCTTCCTGCTGCTGCGCCAGCCTGCGGACGTGGTCACCTTCGCCGCCGAGTACTTCGGGCCTTTCTCGGTTCGCCGCCAGCCGACCCCCGCCCTGCCCTCCTCCAACCGACCCAGCCCTTTCCGCTCGCTGGCCCCAGAGCCGTCCTCCAGCTGCGGGTTCACGCCCGCGTCAGGGGAGGGCTAGGCGGCCCGCGGGCTGGAGAGTGCGTCCGGCCCGGGCCCGCGGTCCGGAACTGGGCAGGAAGCCTGGGCGTCGGGGCGGGCCGCGCCGGGGGAGGGCGCCTTTTCCGGGCTGCGGTTTTTGTGGGAATAAACTGGGCGCTCCCGCAGCTCTGCTGAGCGCGCTGCAATCTTCCTGGCCAGCTTCTTACGTCAGGCTAAAAATAGGAACCGCTGACAGCGTTTATGGAGTTAATTTCAGTCTTTCTAGAAAAGACTGTTACCGTCATTATAATCGGTATTTTGCAGATAAGAAAACAGAGGCACTGAAAGGTTAAGTAACTCGTAGAGCTAGAATGTGGAGAAGCAGAATTCGCGCTCAGACTCTTAGCTGTTAGTTTAGTGGGGATGGAGGGGCGGTGCTTCTTGACAATCAGAATCTTTATGGAGACCACCGAGCATAATTGCCCTCCCCACCCCACCCCCGAACTGAAAGAGCACGCGGTAGCGGAAATGGGGCTTGGAGCCCCTTTGACTTTGCTTGTCACCTCCAAAGCTTCCCAAAACGCCCACCGCCAGCTCTCAGGCTCCACCTCCTACCCACTGACACAAAGGAGCTTCCAAACTGCGGGACCCCGGGTCTCTTCCGCTTGCCCACTAACACCGAGTAACCTCGAAACTGCAGGGACCCCGGGTTTCCTCCCCTTTCGCATTGACACAGAGTAATCCTGAAACTGTGCAGGGACCCCGGGTCTCCTCCCCTTTCCTATTGACACAGAGTAACCCTGAAACTGCGCAGGGACCCCGGGTCTCCTCCCTGTTCCTGCTGACAGAGCGGAACCTCAAACTGCATGGTCCCTGGGTCTCCTTCCCATTCACACTGCCAAGAACCCGAAACTGGGCCCCGTCGCCGGGTCTCCTCCTGGTTCCTACTGACAGAACTGTGCGACGATTCCTGTTCTCCTCCCCTCCTCCTCGTTCCCTCTGGCACAGAGGAGCCCCCAAACTGCGCGAGGCCCCAGTTACCCAGTTTCTCCCCAAGACAATGGATGGGCAGGTAGTACCACCTCCCTTAGACTCCCTGTTTGATGTCAGTTGTGGCCAGCGGCTTGTTTCCACCTTCTGGCTGAGGCTCAGTAGCTTTGTCAATACTAAGCATGAGCCCTTCAGGCAGCTGGTAATGAGGGTGTGAGCTCCATTCCTCCACCCATTCAATCACCGGAAGCTTGAATGTCTTTAACACTTGCTACTGCAAGATGACTCGTGATCGACTCAGGTTACACAACAACAACTTTGAAATGAAACACTGCTCATCTGTCAGTTTGTCCTACTCTGGTGGCCTCCATGTTACTATGATGCTGTAAGCTGTGCCACAGGTATGAAGCTATGGCACAGGTATTTCAAATACCAGCAGGGTCACCCATAGTTAACAGGCTTCAGTGGAGCTTCCAGACTAAGACAGCGTAGGCAGTAAGCCCTGGTGATCTACTTTTGAACATTAGCGGATGAAAACCGTTTGGATCACAACAGAACATGGTTCGTGATTCTGTTGTACATGGGGTCACCAGGAGTTGACGGACTGGAGGGCAACTAACAACAGCAACTCTGCAGGATGAGAGACTACAAAGAAGCTTTGCACTCTAGGGGACAATATGAGCCGATATCTACAAGCCTGGGGGCAGAGAGTGAGGGATCAGGGAATCAGGGAAGGCAGCCTGGAGAATTATCATTTGAGTTGAGCCTTGGAGTTTGTGGGTTTTTTTTTTTTTTTTTTTTCTTTTTTTGAACTTTAGATGAAGATTTACAGAACAAATAGAATAGTTTCTCATTAAACAGTTAGTACACATATTGTTTTATGACAATGGGTAACAACCCCATGACATGTCAACACTGTCCCTTCTCAACCTTGGGTTCCCTATTACCAGCTTTCCTGTCCCCTCCTGCCCTCTAGTCCTTGTCCCTGGACTGTTGTGCTCCATGAGTCTCGTTTTGTTTTATGGGGCTGTCTAATCTTTGGCTGAAGGGTAAACCTTGGGCGTGACTTCATTACTGAGCTGAAAGGGTGTCTGGGGACCATACTCGCGGGGTTTCTCCAGTCTCTGTCAGGCCAGTAAGTCTGGTCTTTTTTTATTTATATATTTTTAAATACATATCCTTTATTGTCCTCTTTCCCTTAAGAAGAAATACATGTTTATTACAGAAAACTTATAAAAGGAAGATAAACCAAAAGAAGAAAAATGGAACCACCTCAATCCCTCTGTCTAGAGGCAGCCACCCTTAGCATTTTTGGCAAATACCCTCTCAGCTCTTTTTTCTATGCATAAAAGCTCTGGTGTTTGTTGAACATTTACTCTGTCAAGCACTTTATTATAGATTGTTTGATCTGGTCTTCACAACTCCAAGAGAGGAATTTTTTTTTTTTAACAAAAATGATATCCTATAGTAATACACGTTCATTGTTAATTGCATATTTATTTATATTTTTTGTAAACATTTCAAACATCACAGATAAAGCTGAAGTCTCCTTACATTTCTACTCCAGTCCCATAGTGTTTTGTAAGCTTTTCTCATGTGTTGTAATTGGCTGTTTCATTTAACAAAATATTCTGAAAATCTTCTCATGACATCACAGTCTTCTATTTTTGCTGGCTGTACCAATATTCAGCCACTCTCCCTCGCCTCCACAGCATTTTCAGTTGCTATAAACAATGCTGCATTGAACATTTTTGTAGCTAAATATTTGCATATATCAGTAATTATTGCCTCAAGAACACATTCTGAGAAGCGAAATTGTTGGATCAATTTTAAGTCTTTTGTTTGTTAACTTATTGGCAAATTCTAGATGGGTATGATTTTGGTTAAGAGTCTGGTAAAACATTCCAGGCAGAGAAAATTAACATGAGCAAAGGGTAGAGAGGTAAGAAAGTGCAATGCATGTTCATGGTCTGAAGTAACATTGTCCAATAGAACTTTCTGCAGTGAAGGAAATATTCTACGTCTGCGATGTCCAATATGATAGCCACTAGTGATATGTACCCAATGAGCACTTGAAATGTGGCTAGTATGATTGAGGAACGGAATTTTTAGGCAGCATATAGATGGATCATATTTTTTTGTCCTATCTGCCAGTCTCTGTCTTTTTATTGGTGCATTTAGGCCATTTACATTCAGCATAATTATTGATAGGTATGAGTTTAATGCTGAGTCATTTTTTTTTATGCATTTTCTTTTCATCTTTTTCATTGTTGTTGATTTTGTGTTTGCTGAGTCTTTATATTTTTCTAGTTTTTTATTTTGACTTGTAGGATTGTTAGTTTCCTTTTTGATTACCTTAATATTTACCCCTATTTTTCTAGGTTTATACCAGTCTTTTATTTCTTTATATTGCCTTGACTTCCTCTCCATATGAAAAATCTATGTCTGCATTTTTCAGTCCCTCTTTTTTGTTTTAATGTTGTCATTTTGTACATATTGACATCTCTGTTTCCCTCTTTTCAGTGGTTTAGCTCTGATTTATTTTTGTGACTTCCCTATCTGGTTGCTCTGTCCTGTATTCTAGTCTTGGGTTGTTATCTGATGTTATTAATTTCCTAACCGGAGGGCTACCTTTAGTATTTCTTGTAATTTTGGTTTGGTTTTTGCAGATGCCCTGAACTTCTGTTTATCTGGAAATGCCCTGATTTTGCCATCATATTTGAGAGACAGTTTTGCTGGATATATAATTCTTGGGCTGGCAATTTTTTTTTTCCTTCAAGTCTTTATATATGTCATCCCATTGCCTTCTTGCCTGCATGGTTTCTGCTGAGTAGTGAGCTTAGTCTTACTGACTCTCCTTTGTAGATGACTTTTCGTTTATCCCTAGCCACTCTTAAAATTCTCTATCTTTGGTTTTGGCAAGTTCGATTATAACATGTCTTGGTGACTTTCTTTTGGGATCTACCTTATGTGGTGTTTGATAAGCATCTTGGATAGGTATGTTCTCATCTTTCAGGACATCAGGGAAGTTTTCTGCCAACAAATCTTCAACAATTCTCTCTGTATTTTCTGTTATCCTCCCCCGTTCTGGTACTTCATTCACTCATAGGTTATTTCTCTTAGGGTTTCTTCATTTTTAAAATGCTTTTATCTGATTTTTCCTGAAATAAGTTGGTGTCAAGTGCTTTATCTTCAGTCTCACTAATTCTGACTCCCATTGCCTCAATTCTGCTCCTATGACTTCCTGTTGAGCTGTCTAATTCTGAAATTTTATTGTTAATGTTCTGGATTTCTGATTGCTGTCTCTCTATGGATTCTTGCAGCCTGTTAAATTTGCCATTGTGCTCTTCTCTAATCTTTTTAATTTCCTCTATTGCGTGTTCTGTGTTTTGTTTAATTTCCTTCCTAAGCTCTTGAAGAGTTCTGTATATTAATCTTCTGTATTCTGCCTCTGGTAATCCCAAGAAATTTTCATCCTCTGGAAAATTTCTAGATTCTTTATTTTGGGAGCTTGCTGAAGCCATCATGGAGTGCCTCTTTATGTGATTTCATACTGACTGTTGTCTCCAAGCCATCGATAAGTTATTATATTTATTTATTTTATGTTTGCTTACTGTGTCCTAGCTTCTTGTTTTGATATGCCCAAATAGGCTGTTCGTGTGAGTTAGTTTGGTTATTGGCACCTTTGAAGCTCTAATGTCCTGTCAGCAGGTGGTCAGATCTGTTACTAGGTATGTAAGCCCAGGAGTCCACCTGCTCCTCCTGTGTGGATTCAGCTCAGGTGCCCAGGTAGCTAGCCACCAAGTGTATGATGCAGGCACTCACCTACAGTCCTGACAAGCATGGGTGATTGGTGTAGGCACAGGCATCTGGCTGCAGCAGGGGGACACACTCTCAGCAAGGCAGGGGGCTGATGGCCACCCCCGAGTGTCCAGGAGGAAGGTGTGTCCCTGTTCCCTAGAGCGTGTAGGTGGGTGGGTTTTGCAGCCGGACTATGAGCACCCAGTGCTGTTGGATGTAAGGACTGGGGGGCACCTCTTATTCTTGGGC